GATACAATCTGACCTGGGAACAGCACAGCAGCCTTTGCCCACTGCATTCCCAGAGGAGCAGCTTTCTTCCCCACTGCATTCCCAGAGGAGCCCAGGCCCATCTCCAGCAGCCCTGGAGCTCCAGAGGAAAACTCCCCCCTTGTCTTGGATCCCTGCTCCAGCAGAAGCCTAGCTGGCACTGCAGGAGGGCTGAGCGACCATGGGATGGGACTGCTGCCACCTCCCTGACCCACATGATGCCAGGGCATGTTCTGGTTTGGTTTTGTTTTCTGGTGGTTTTTTTGTTGTTTTTTTTTTTTGTTTTTTTTAAATGTATTTTATTTTTATTTTTTCTTTTCCTAGTAAAGAACTGTTATTCCTACTCCCATATCTTTGCCTGAGATCCTTTTAATTTCAAAATTATAATAATTTGGAGGGATTTGCATTTTCATTTCAAGGGAGGCTCCTGCCTTCCTTAGCAGACACCTGTCTTTTCATACCAACACACATACATAAGATGCAATTAAAGGGACAACAAAGTGTCCTTTCAAAATAAAAAAAAAAAAAAAAGGACATTGTTCTAAGCCAGTCCCACTGCAACTACCAATTTCCAAAAATCAGATGACGCTGAAGTCCTTTTTCTCAAGCAATCCTTTCCCAGCTATAACAGCAGAGCCTTTGCTGCTGAGTTGGGATTTTTCCCTCATTTAATTGGTCTACCTAGGGGTTGAATAATCTGTCATCTTATACTTCCTGTGCTCAAATTCTGCTGGGGGGAACAAGCAGCTATTTTACAATGCATTCTGTCTTGCTCTTGGACTAGTTGGGATGTATTTGAAGATCCTCAAACACACTGGGGAACAGGCTCACCTTGCATGATGACAAAGAAAGAGCAATTATCTCCAACTGAAGCTGCTGACAGGAGTGAAAAATAAATACAGAATATAGAAAACATGCCAAGGAACCCACAGAGCTCATGGAAAACATTTTTTTTTTAAAGGAGCAGATTGGTTACAGAGCATCATCTCCCTCCAGTGCTACAGAGAAAGGGAGAGTACAGCTTGACTGGTGTAATTCCTTTTGGGGAAAAAAAAACCAATCACCTTTTAATTGGGATAATGTGGAATGGCACATTGTGGGTTTCTGCTCTGTGAGTGCTGCAGGGGAAATGATGAACAAGTCACCTTCATGCCTGATCCCAGAAGAGCCTTCCCTTGCACACAGACAAGGTGTGGGAATGGGAAAGATGGATTCCATCCTATGGGATGGAAACCTGCCTGTGGGCAGGATTCATCTGCTGGAAAGTGAATCTTTACCTCTGAGTAAGGACTTTTGTTGTGGTATGGCTGGACACAGCTCCTGGGATGGAGGTTGTTGTTTTTTCCATGCTTTTTTCCCAGCAGGATCAGATAACAGCAAGTCTCCCAGTGCACAACTGCCCCGGAGTCCCCACAGAGCAGAAGCCTGGCAGGTTCATTTCTTGGCACAGTTGTGTTTCTGCTGGCAATTCCACTGGGAATTGTTCCACCCTGGGGTGAATTGGCTCCCAGTGGCTCTTCAAACATTCACCATAAGCAAAGGCTACAGCTCTAAAGAAACTGAATGTGGTATTAATATTCCTTAAGGAGGGAATTAGAACAGTTCTTTTCCTTGGAAATTGTTTACAAAGCATATCCAGGTGAGGATTGGTCTCTACTCCCAGATAACAAGTGACAGGGTGAAATAGCCTCAAGTTGTGCTATGAGAGATTTAGTTTGGATATTAGGAAAAATTTCTTCCCTATAAGGGTGATCTGGCATTGAAAGAGGCTGCTCAGGGCAGTGGTGGAGTCACAGTCCCTGGAGATGCTCAAAAGCTGTGTGGATGCAGCATCTGGGGACAGGGTTCAATGGTGAACATGGTGGTGTTGGGGTAATGGTTGGACTGGAGGATTTTTAGGTTTATCTCCAACCCTAATAATTCTATGATTCAGAAATTTTGGGGACATGAATCCAGCACAGCTGGGACCTCAGGAGCACACTGTCACACAGATAAATTGCTGTGATGTCAGCACAGTTAGTTGGTCAGAACATGGTGCTGATGTCACCAAGCTCACGGGTTCCATCCCCATATGGGCCATTCTACAAAGAGTTGGACTTGATGATCCTTTGGTCCCTTCCAACTCCAAATATTCTGTGAAATCTGTGAAAAATTTTCTGTGAACTTTCTGATCTTTGTGTCCAGATGCTGGGATGAGATCTCTGGTGAGCAAAGCTTAAATGGATGATATGGACAGACCCTGGACTCCCTTACACTGCAAACATGTTTCATCCACCAATATCCAGTACAGAATAAAACCTTCTGAAATGCAATATTTTCTTGCTGCCCCTTCCTTTTTTTTTTTCCCTCAGAAACCAGCAAGGCTGACTGCATTTTCAGGTGAGCTCAAGGCAATATCTCTCTGTCGCTATTGGACATGAAATGAGTACGCAGAAGTTTGGTAAGTTCAAAAGAGAAGAAGACCCAGTTTTATTCAAACATCTGGTATTTATAAAATTCTAAAGGTGACTGTGGATTAGAGGATGGAATGACCCCCTCTCCAACCACACTGGTCTAAAGATCAATCAATCATTTCTCTCTACCTACAGAGAAATATGTAATCTATTCTATTTACATATGAAATTGTGTGGGAACTCTGACTCTCAAATATGTAACCACTATCAGAAGGCTAAAGAAGTTTTTTGAGAACTTTAGAACTTTCAGAAGAGCTATAAAAGAAAACTTAACACTTTTAAAAATCAGGGCAACATCTCTCAGTGTCCAGATTTCAGCAAGTGTTTGGATAATGCTATCAGGAGATTGTTGGGGTATCCTGCGCAGGGCCATGAGCTGGACTCAATGATTCTTGTGGGTCCCTTCCAACTCAGGACATCCTGTGTTTCTATGATTTTCTACATCTCTCACCATATCTAGGTTGAACAGAATGGATTCTGCCAAATGAATATGGAAAATTCCCATAATATCCCAGAGACTAACAGGGTGTTACTGTACATGCAGCCTCCAGGTGTGCTCTGAGGGCAGTACCCAAGAGCAGCAGGGGAATAATCAGGCTGATTTGGTGACACGAGGCAGCAGAAGGAGATGGCTTACGTTGAAGAGGTGTGAAATCACATTTTCTGAGCTGAGTTTCACACCCAGCAAAGTGCAGCACAGATGGCAAGGCCTGTGTCTCGAGGCAGATCTATAAATTATGACCTCTTGGCTCATTAGAGCTGCCTTGTAATTCTGCTGCCCTCTTCATCTGTGCCAAGGGAAATAGATGTAAGGGATGTAAAACATGCAAAACATTTTCTCTTTCTGCAATTGCTGAGCAATAAATATTTCATCTGCTGGAAGAAGAAATCTGTGGAATTCCCCTGTTTTGGACAGTTAAGGCTCAGACTTCTTGTGTTCATCAGATTTCTGGATACTCACTGTAAACACGTTCTCTTTGTGAGCTCAGACATAGAGAACAGAGGGGGATGAGTTTGTTTGTAGGTATTTCTTGTTTGAGAGATGCAGAATGTTTTACATGCTACCTCTGGGCAAGCTTCCCAGATAGCATCAATTAGCCAGACTGGGTGCCACAAAAGAAAATTAAACCTTTTAATTCACTCCATGTTGGCAAAAAAATAGAAGTATGTACATCACTGTGTAATTACTCTGATTTAGTGTCTTTAGGTTCACTGTAACCAAGCAGAGAAATAATCAGTTCTCAAACAGACAGATTTTTTTATATGCTGAAGATGGCCTTTCACTGAAGAAATTTAATTATGGGCTAATCCTTTCCAGCAGCTTGAGGTGGAAAGAGATTCCCATTGGTAAGAAATTATGGAAGTTCACCAGCATTAAAGGCTGCATGGAGGATGTGGGTCCCCTATAAATAGTGCAGGACGTAGGACTGGACTTGCCATTTCCTGCAGTGGAAAGAACTTTTCTTTCTCAATGCACAACTGAAAACAGTTCAGCCCACTAATTTAATTAGAAGGGAATTTACAGGCAATTTTAGTTCTAAGATGAAATCCTGGCCCTGCTGAAGTCAATGGGAAATTTGCCACTAATTGCACAAGGATTTTACTCCATGGCTTTGTGCAGGGATGCAGGGAAAGGGAAAAGAGGGAGGGAAAATTAGTGAGGTGTTTGTCAGGCTTTATGGGAATTTAGCTTGGTAGCAGAGCCTGAGTGAGCAGGGTGTGAGGACAGCTCTTAAACATGGAGAAATTTCTCCACTGAAAGGCATTGGAACAGGCTGCCCAGGGGGTGGTGGGGTCATTATCCCTGGAAGTGTTCAAAAACATGGATGTGGCACTTGGGGACAGGGTTTAGGGGTGAACACAGCAGTGCTGGGTTGGACTCAATGATCTTGGAGGGTTTTTCCAGCCCTAATGATTCCACACCTCTGTGATTCTAAAGTGTCCCTAAGCCCTCTGCCTGCTCCTCACCATCCCTCCCAGGAGAAAGGAATGTCAGGAACTGCCACAGCCTTTGTTAATATTTAAGTTGAGAAAAAAAAAAGCCTCCAAACCCTGGTTATAACTCTAGTGATCAAAGTCTCAGTGTGTGGTAATTTCAGAGGGGCACAGAAGGTTCCACCCTGCCAATGCTCTCTCTCAGGAGACAAAAAACGAGGCTGTCTTTGCAAATTCTGCTTCTGTCATGCAGCACAAATAAAGATTTTATTTTTACTTCCCTGCAGGAAAGCTCTGATTTAAATAAATTATAGGTGTACACTAAAAGAAAGAACACCTCCTCCTGTTCTGCACCTACAGAAAATTTGCTTAATTAACAAATCTGAATAAAATTGGGAGATGCTGTCATGCCTGATAGATGATTGTGGGACAGCCCAATTGCATTACCAGGAAGACAGTAAACATTCTTGCTCTCCTTTTTAAAATAAATTACACCCTGTTAATACATGTTTTGCTTCCATAATAATGCCAACATTTAAATTACTGGTCCTGCATCAAAACACGTCAGAGCTAAATGTGTTCATTTTCTCTTGCAGCTGTTGGATGCTCCCAGCTCTTCAAAGACCATTTCCTGGGACTTCCTGAGAGCCTCTTCACAGTGAGTCACCAACAAAAATCTTGCTTCGCTGGAGATGTCTGCTCAAAAGCAGAATTTTGGGGAAGCTGCTGAGCTGAGGGCGGTTTCCCCAGCTTCCTCACAAACCTGCTGCTGGTTTTCACCCCAGGCTCTGAAGCAAAGATGCACCACAAAGACCATGAGAGGATGGGGTCAGCAAAGCCTCTCTGTGGCCTCTGTGAGCTCAAGATTAGCAGATATCACAGAAAATTAAGTAAATGATGAGTTGTAAATTTTAAAGATGCCTTAACTAGTCAAATTCCCTGAGTTTTTCTTCTGTGTGGCCCAAAAACTCCAGGGTGAAGGGGAGCCTGCTGTGTGGAGCCCCTTACAGTGGGGAAACCCCAAGGAAGTTGTTCATGTACCTGCTCTATCTGGTGACCAAAGAGTTATTTGAGGCTACAAAGACCAAAAATCCATTTCACAACTGTTTCAAGGCAACTGAACAACAATTCTGCAGGCCCAAGAGCTGAGCCTCTGGGGTGTTTGAACACTGATGCTGATTATCAGGCAATGCTACAGGAGAGAGTCAAGGCCAAAGAGCTGCCAGAAAAAAATTGTGCAACCACAGATAGCAGATCACTGCTCTTTAGGCTTTGTTCCTGTCAGTGGGGCAGCTCAAAACTGCAATCCAGATGTAAAACACAGGATAATAAAAAATATATGTGGAAAGGAATGAAGCACTTCTGTGGAGGAGGCACTGGGTTGGGAAACTGGAGTTAGCAGCTTTATGGTTGCCCTGGTCCTTTCTTTTTCCAGAGGGAGGGCATGAAAACAAAAAGTGACTTCCATGACTGAAGTAATCTCAGGAAAACTGGGAAAGATTTGAAGACTTTTTTAACAAATTTGCAGCCACTGCCAAGCCATGGTGTCACTGGGGTTCGTTATGTGCAATAATGGATCACAAATCTAATCACAAGCCAAAGATGGCAAAGGCCCACAGAAGAACAGTCCTATGCAACAAAAAATAATCAATCCTTGGATAAAAAAAGCAATATGGATCATATTTCTATGATACAGGAAGAGCCTTGGATGCTAAGCAGTAGGAATAAATGCAATAAATTAATAAAAAATGAGAGCTCCAGTCATTTTCTTCTGCCCCACTTTGAATTTGCATTATGAGCAGAGGGAGATGAGAGGGACAGAAGGGATAATTACACAACCCCTTCTCAGTTCTCTGAGCCTCTCCACTCAAGTGACAGAGTGGCACCACTCGTGGAATTCAACCAGAAGCCACTGGGGTGACAGAGCTGTGTTGTCTCATGGCACCTCCCAATTACTGTGGTTCCGGGGGTACATTAATTGTGATGGTCACCAGCAGGGCACTTCTTTCTGACACCTTCAATTGAATATCCCTCCAACATTTCCCAATCAATAGGAATTATGATTACAAGATGGCTCTTCACCCATGAAACATTTGATTTCTTCCCAAATGCACAGCAAGGGCAGGTGACACACTGTGCACCATGCCAGTCCAGAGCAGAGAGAAGGAGAAAAGTGGTTATTGCAAGATGGAAGAGGCAATTTCAGGTGGACAGAGGTGTGTTATTTTTGTTTTTTAACTGCCCCTATGGGTTAATACTTGAAAACCAACATGGTTGCATGTGTTGGCATTTTTGCATCTAATGGGATGGTTTACTGGTCTAATTAATTAAGATGTAATCAATAAGATGAGCTGGGAAATTAAGACTGAGTCATATTTCAAATTCAGTGGGTGATGAGCCAGGGGCTCAGATTTGCCATGTGCAGGACGTGAAGCAGTCTGGAGCTGCAGATTCTGGCAGTGGGAAAATTCTGATTCTTTCTCCAGAGGATGATTTGGGGTCATGAAAAATTAAGATGAATGGGAAGATAACACAAAGTCAAGGGCTATAGGTGGGGAAAAAAACCTATTATTTCTGATTCAGTATATTCCAGCATAAAATGATGCCTCAGGTTTTAGCTTTTATATTTTCAGGTTCTGTGCTGCTTTAGTGTGTGGGTCTGAGCTTCATATCAGGGCATGGTGAGATCTCTGCACAGAGCAGGGAGACAAAACAATTCCTTCTCTAGCTGGGCACCAAGGACAAATGATCCAAATCTCAGGCCCAGGAGCACAAACACTGTGGGCTGCAGGGAGAAAAACAAGCAGGATGGGACTGCCTGGGCTAAAGCTGGAATGGGACAATGAACTCCAAGGTGCCAATGGAGCAGAACTTCTAAAAGTGAGACCCCCCATGAGGGGTCATGCATTTTATGACCATTTTAAGTTATACTGCCCAAAGTATTAAAGCCTCTTAATAAATCCCTACTTTATTCTTTAACTCCATCTAATCTCTGTTCTAGCTCAGTCTTCACAAGGCATCAAAAATAACCCCAACAATTAATTCCTAGGGGAAGCAGTGGCTGGATTGTAACATCCCCTCAGAGGGGACACAGATCTGTGCAGGTGTCCCATGTCATGAAGAGCACACAGAAGTGGTGGCAGCTCATTTCCTTCCCCCTGGGCATTCCTTACTGCATTTTATTGCTGCCCCTCCACCTGAAGCATTTGCAAATGCAAATGAGTGGCTTGGGAAGCTCCAGCCCTGGGGCAGGTGAACCCATTTCACCCTGACATCAGGAAGCAATGAGGATGGTTCTCTCTGAGCACAGGAACAGATTTCTTTCACCAGAAAGGCCTCACCCCCTCTAGAGAGAGATGCCTTCATTAGCTGCTCAGCTTGACACTCACATTTCTAACAGCCCAGGAAAAGCCAAAAGGACAAGGAGCTTCCAGCTACAGAGTCTCAGCTGGTGTTTAACACTCAAAGTATGTAAGTAATAATCAATCTGTGCTAATTTCCAGCAGCCAAAGAGTTGACCTTAACAAGGCATTTTTAGGATTATTTTCTGTTTCTCATATGGACAGAACTCTTTGCCTGATGGCCACGAGCTGCAATTAAGTCTTTTTTGCTTAGAAGTGGTGAGAATTTGGACTGGACGTGATGAAATCTTTCTTACTGGTTGTTGGAAGCCTCTGCAGAGCTTTAAAGACAGTTTGCAAAAATCCCACCAGGCATCAACAAAAGTTCAGGGCAACATCTCCCACACAAGTTCAAGAGTAGCTCACAGCCTTTCTAGAGTGCTGGGGTAAGGTTTATCCCAACAGGAAAGACTTGATGATCTGGGAGGTCTTTGCCAACATTAATGAGCCTACGATTCTATCCTGTGAGTCTAGATACTTAAGCCTGAACTAGTAGCAGGAATTTAATTAGTAATTTTATCACGAAGCAGAGCCCTTCTTCCTCCAGGGCAGCTCTTACACTGGCTCACCTCACAGTACCATTCCCAAATCTGGTCACTGAGGAATGAAGAGCAATGAGCTGATCAGTTTTGAACCCACTGGGTATTAGAGGCTGATTTCCCACAGCAGAACCATATCAGGGGAAATTTAATTTACTCCTGTGGAGTGATGGGTCTGAAGAAGGGCAAGTTTACTTTAGATATTGGGAAGAAATTGTTCCCTGTGAGGGGGGGAACCTCACAGCTGTGGTTGCCCCTGGATCCCTTGGAAATGTCCAAGGCGAGGTTGGACAGGGCTTGGAGCAACCTGGGGTAGTGAAAGGTGTCCCTGTCCATGGAAGGGTTGGAACTGAACGATCTTAAAGGTCTTTTCTAACCCAAACCATTCTGGGATCCTGTAATTCTAAGTAAATCACTTTAAAAATTAAGTAATGAATTCTACAAGTGAAAAGGGACAGCTCTGGTATCCCTGTATCCAATACCTGACAATATCCAGCACCTGACAATATCCATTAGAACTGAGCTGGGAGAACTGCAGCAAGGAACAAAATTGATCATTTTCTGCCTTACAGCTTTGATAAATCACCTTAGCATTGACTCTTGCTTAACCAGACATGATGAAGAAGGTGTGAATGTCACCTTTGAGGAATGAGGGGATAACTGAGAGTGTTTAAATTGAAGGAGTCAGCCCAGAAATGAGTCGGAGTGCACATTTAAATGTGCTAATCACACCATCCTCAGTGCCTGGCTGTGACGTTTCTCTCTGAATTAGTTTTGTGTTTCAGATGGATCCTTTACTCAATTACAGCAGCACTCCTGATGAGTTTGTTGACATATTTGCTAATTTTCCCGTGGCAGTGTGTTTTGGAGGATTCACATACATTACTAATGAACTGAAATTGCCTGGTATTCCATCAGTTGTCTTTTACCCAGGTGTTGACACCACACAGAATCAGACTCCAATCCTGAATGGAATTTCCCCTTTGTTTTGCCACTGACTTGTTTCCACTAAATGATCCTGGCATGTTTAGAAATACATAAATAATTAAAACAACAGATAGATAGATAAATAAACCCCCAACCTCTTCTCTAATTTTCACTCTCCAGACTAGAATTGTCATGGGAAAGATCTTTTTAAGAGTTTTGATCATGTTCTATGTACAAGTGAGGCTGCTTTCAAGCAGAAATGGTTGATAAAGTGCATTGGATTGCAGGAGTCAAGAGTGTCACTCCTTCCCCTGCCTCCCTGGAAAACCCTGGTCAAGGCACTTAAAAGATATTTATCTACCCTAAGTTTAGACTTTGGCCTAAATGAGTTTCCCAGGCAATGGAAAGAGGCAGCTTTCTCCAAGCAGAGGTCCAATTGATGCTAAAATGGGAGGGAGAATTAATCACCCACTGGAAGAGTCTCTCTGCCGCTAATTAACACTCACAACAAATAAAAGAAAAAAGACAAACGAGCTGGGTGAGATGGAACAGGTGGCAGAGCTGCCACCTCACTTGCTCTTCAGTTCCAGAGAATTACAGATGAGTCACACAGTTATGAGTGAAAACCAGATTTGGTCAAGTTTTAACCATGAAATATCCTCACTCTGGAGTTTGATTAGATCCTACTGATAATTTTAAAAAGACAGACTCAAAAACAAACTTGGAAAAAACTCTCCTGTGTAAACTGGAGATATTTAAAATATGCTCCCAAAAATCTTTGTTCCCAGCCGGATCCAGTTACAGGCTCTGAAAATAAATCTCACTGTTAGGGGATGCAGAAAGGACAATTTGGCTGCACGAGCTCTGCAAGAGCAAATAAAGAGAAAAGATGAGATGGGAGGGAAAAGACCTTTTCAGAAAGGTTTTAACCGGAAGCTGTGGGAATGTGCAGCTCCCAGTTTAGCACCTATTGTAATCTCAGGCATTGTGGGTGGATCCTGTCCTACCTTAGGAGCCTCCGCTGCTGCTCCTAAATCCTAAATCACCTCTCTGGTAGCCACCCACAGGTCCCTGTGTGGGGTCTGTGCCACCAGATGCCTCTGTTCAGGCAACTGAGTGCAGCCCTGGAGAGCCCTGGAGCTCATGGAATTCATCTCCTTGAGTTAAATGGGGATTATTTAAGGACTGCCTGAGCATTCTGGGATACTCAGATCTCAACAAACTTCTAGCAAGTTTCAAGAGTCTGTGGGAACATTGGGAGTATTTTAAGCAGGAGAAGGAATTCTCAGTGCCAAAGGCAGAGGGAAGCATCTGGGCCCCAGAGCAGATTGTGAATTTTCACTCCGAGCTGAATCGAGGCTGAGAGTTGTGCAAATCTCACAACATTTTGGTCCAAAGTGATGGAAACAGGCATTGCAGAGCTATCTCTAATTGGCACACTGATAAATTGTTAAATCTTTCCCTGAGCTCAAACACATCCAAGTGCAGTCCAGGTGGAATAGACCGAATTAGGTCAGAGCCTCGAATTATCTGCTTCTCTCTGGCACATCTAAGACACTGATCAGACTAAGCCCAGATAAGCCTATCAGCACTAGCAGAACTTGGCAAGACATCAACATTTATTATTCTCTCCACAGAGAGACTAATAAAATCAGATTATTCCATTATGGCATTCAAATACATTCATATTCACCAGGTAAATAGAGATCTTGCATGTAGGGCTTGTTGCAACATACTAATTTTCATTCAAATTATCATTAAAAAGCATGAATGAGGTTGCTGAAAATTAGGATTTTTTTATCCTAAGGAAAATATTTTTTAATTCCTTTTCAGACTGCACTGGTGCCAGCTATTTCACTCTGACAAAACCCAGTGTTATTGTTTG